TATATATATATATATATATATATATAGATTATTTTTAAATTATAAAATAAAGTATAAGTTTTTAAAGTTAATTAAATATTAATCCTATTTAGCTAACTCAATAAAGAAAATTATTTGTTCCTCAATATTATTCAATATATTTACCTTAAATTTTGTTCTAATTTTTAGTTTTATCAGTTCAATTTTACCGGTTATTATACTTCCTTTTTAGTTTTAGTAAAATCACATAGCCTTGGTGATTTAAAACTTTTTCTAAAAATATTATTCGAAAGTTATTCTCAAGTTTTATGCAAGAAGGCACAACCATATTTAATTAGCACTTTTATTATGATTCTTTAAAAAAATCGTATAACATAAATTAAAAAATTAAATTTCATGTCTTCTCGATTTATCTCCTTTCAAAGGTTTCAACGTTACTCAAGCATTAAGGTTTTAGTTGCTGAGATAAAAAAAAATTATGATTTACATAATTTTGTCGAAACGCGCGAGGCCAAAAAAAGCATTACTAAAACATAATAAAATTTTAATATGACGAACAAATTACTATGAAAAGTTATTGAAATTCACTGCGTGTGTATGTACATATTAACTTAGACATTTTATTTTTAATATATTCTAAATATTTATACTTCCTATATAGTTTAAATAAAAAAGATTCAATAAGTATAAATTTAATTGATTTTAAAATCCTTATTTACTAAAATATTTAAATTATATTTCTATTCAATATAAAATTTATTTTTACAGCATAAAAAGTCAATCAACATTTCCTGTAGAGGTTTTGTGCTTTTATAATATAGATTTAGGCTTTTACGATGTATTATGATTAAATATTCTATCAAATAATTATTTTGATTGTTTCATTGAACATGGATTTATTATATTATATGACTAAAATAAGAATTTTTAAAATGCACATTTGATTTTTTCATGCTAAAACAACTTAATGCTGACGTTATTGTATTAAAAAAGTTTAATTTAATATGTGATTTCATGTCGTCATACTTTCATTAGTTAGAAATCAATTCAAAGCACCGACTAAAATGTTCTCATCTATTTTCAATTAGTATCTATATCTATATATTTATTAAAATAAGAAACTTACCATATATAATTGACATTATGGTTAAGCCAAGTGGCAAGCTAATAAATGTCATTAGTATATGGTAACTTTATTCTATACTTGACTATTTTAGCTCAATACAAAAATATATATATATATATATATATATATATATATATATTTAAAAGATAATTTTGAATTTATAGATAAAGTTCTAAAATTCGAATTTCAATTTAAAATAAAATTTATCTTTTTTTATCATGTTTTCATACTTAATTCGGTTAATGATCATATGCAATCATGTTAGGAACTTTTGTTATTTCTTATAATTATTTAAATACTACTTCGCCTCTAGCAACAAAAAAAAATACTCTATCTAACTATAAAACTCTTTCACATTTAAAATCCTATAAGTATACTTCTTTGAAACACTGTAGCTAGATTTGAATAAAATAAAATTCTTTTAAAATAAATGTAATATATAGGGTACACATCTATGTTTATCTAAATAACAAAAAAGAGTTTACAAAACCAAATAAAAGTCTAGTTACATATATAATAAAGTAAACATACATGCTAGAGAAAGAAACATCACAAAATCAGTCAATATTAAAAAAAAATATTGTCTCTTTTTTCTTCTTGAAGAATATTTGTTTGAAGAGTCAATTTTCATAAATGGACATCAAACAAATAACAAAACTTTGGTTATACAATTGCTATCATTAATTTTAATTTAGCACATTCAAGGAATTGAAGGGTATAAGCTGAAATCCCTTCATTTAGCTGTAGTCGAGCCAATATTGCAAGGGTATAATATTTTTTTCGATGAAGAATATTAGTTTTGAATCATTAGATTACGTGAAAAGTTTTTTTTCAAACTCAACAAGAGATAAATTGGTTTCTAATTAATAGTTTCTATAGCGACTTTTAAGTGTAACAAAGAGTATATATAAAGAAAAAATTGGTATGACGTGAAATATAATTTTTTTTAAAATGTAAACAAGTTATTTCGAAAAAACTCTTTACTTTTTTAATTCATAGATAATAAAAAGATAAAAAAAAAATTGGACGTTAGTAGAGAGTTTTAAAATTATTATAATAGAAGTTATATCATGGATAAGCTCAAAAAAATCGAAATCTTATGGAATATTTACATAATATTCGGCCATATTTATTGTTTACTTTTTATAGCTAATATAAATAGATGATATACTAACAACACACAATTATACACATATTATATATAAATTACACATCATTCAATTTTTTTAATTTAAGTGGTCGGGTGAGCACCTATTTAAGCTGATTAGATAAAGCCAAAAGAAAAATATGAAATAATTTCAACCAAAGACTAAATATATAATTAAAGTTCATATGTAGACAATTTTTATTAAAATTCATCCTTTTATAGTAAAATAAATTAATTTTTTGTAACAAAAGAAATAATAATATAAAAAATAAGATAAAAGAAAATAAATATTGAAAAAAATGTTAGAAAGATCTAAAAACGAGAAATAAAAGATGACAACAAATTTCTTCTTATGTTTCATCTTTGTTGAGTATAAAAAATTTAAAATTTAATCTCATCGATTTCAAATATATTTTTTTTCGACTCAAATACGTAGATTATAAGATAAGGATATCTTTGAATATTTTTTTTAATTTACATTATGTGTCGTTTTTAAAAAAATTACTATTACTAACAAACTCATATGATATTCGAATTTAAATTGGAATGCTATTTGAGTAGTTTGCATTGAGGTTAAGCTAAGTATGGTATTGAAAAATAAACTACTTGACAATTTTAAGACAATATATGCAATGTTTTATAATACTAATAAACTAATTTAACATTTAACGATTCAAAGAACAAAATTTTTGTATATATAGGGTATTAAAAATTCAAATTCTGGGGCTAGAGATATCGATAAACTTAAAGTCGAGTCATACTGAAATAAATTAGGCCAAAGAATTATTTAAATTTTTTGGATAACCGATTAAAGTGAATTTTAAATTAAGGATAATATCTTCACTTGCATCATTATAAAGATAATTATTATAATATATACAAAGTTTTAAAAATTGAAATTTCAAAATAGAAATATTTTTTGAAAAATAAAATCATACCAAATAAGAGTTCAAGTCGTAGTATAAGAGTCACGTCGTAATCAAAGAATCACTTATATCGTGTCAACCTTTGTGCTTTGCCATAAATATGAGTTATTATTTCACTTTGTGGCTATTTTTAGATTCCAATGACACCTATGAAAATAGTGCAAAAAAAATTATCACTACAATAATTGAGAAAATGTTAGTCTTTTTTTCATGTAGTGTTTCTTAATTAATATCTAACGATTATCTATAATTATTTAGAAGGTTTAAATGTTAAGGTTATTTACATATAATTCAAATAACTCAAATATTTAACATGGTTAATGTCAGATATCAAAATGGAGTAAAAAAATTCACTAGCTAAAGAATTTTTTATATTTTTAGATAGCCAACTAAAATGAGTTTTGAACTAAGAATAATATTTTCAATTACATTATTATAAAAATAATTATTATTGAAAAATAATGTTTTAGAAACTGAAATTTTAAGAAAGAAATATATTTTAAGAGATATCAACACACCAAATAAGAGTTCAAGTAGTAGTAAAAGAGTTAAGTCTTATCGAAAGAGTCATTCATTATCTCAGCATTTATTGTTTTGCCATAAATATGAGTTATTATTTTGCTTCCTGACTATTTTTAGGATCCAATTAGACCGGCAAGAATTGTATCAAAAAAGAAAAATAGAAGGAATGATTAATTTTTTTCATGTAGTTAATATCCAATGATTATCTATATTTACCGAGAAAGTGTAAATTTTAAGATTATTGCATACAATCCAAATAACTTAAATATTTGACATAATTAGTGTCCGCGCATCCGCGCGGGTACTAATACTAGTTAAGATAAAAATGCATAATTTAATTTTATTTTTCTTTAGCGTTTAGTCATGTAGTTAATACTCCCTTATTAGTCTACTTATTTTAGCATAACTTAATACTTTTAGATTATTCTTATTTTTATTATGTCCTTTTAATTATCAATATTAATATTACATAATTTTATTGTCTTTATTGTTGAATATTTTAGGATAATGCCATGACACATCTCATATTTTGTATTATTTTCTTGGAAAATACCTTATATATCTTACTAGGATTAAAAAAATATTTTGAGCACAAGTTATATGTTTTGTGTTATGAAGATTTTACCGGAAAAAAATCCGAATAACCCGAAAATCCCAGAAAAACCGAGATTGAAAAACCTAAATTTTATTGGTTGGGTTTGGTCTTTAGATTTAATAACCAGACACATTTGGTTTTGTTTGGTAATTATAAAATCCGAACAAATCTGACTTATGTACACCCCTACAACATAGTATAAACCTCCACAAGCAACTTGTCCGGCTCATTTGGACCCCAAAAAAAATGTCTATCTGATGATGCTACAAACATTTGGCTCGATGTTTTTTTTTTTCAATAAGAGCATGATTTAGAAAAAATAAAGAATATGTTTTTTTAAAGTAGATGATGAAGCATATTCCATTAACACTAATATACGAGGAGGCTTACACATTTAACTGTAGGTTAACAAATAGGTTAAATTAGTTGTTCCAGTAGTGTCAAAGAATAATGGTCTTTTACGCAGTAATCTTAAGTTAATTAAAAATCAGCAAAGAAAGTAAATAATTTTTTTTTAAAATCAACATATGCTACAGTATTAAAAAATACATAAAATAAGATTTTGGGCTGGCATGGGGTAACTTAAGCTCATGTGTGAGCTGGATTCAAAGACCCACTACCATATGATATGTATAAAAGGAAGCAAAAAGAAAGGAAAGAAGCATTAAAAGAATAAATGTAAAAATTAAGATACCCCCCCCCCAACCACAAAACAAAATAGGAATAATATAATTATCCCCTGAATTCTGTTTCTGTTGCTTTCTTCCCGTTCAACTCAATAACAAGTGTTGTTAATATGGTATTGATATATAGTACTACTTGATTTTTCAGATACTGTTAATTGGCTTGGCTTCTTGTTGGTAGTGGGTCAGTGGTGAAATCGATGTCAACTGTCTCTGATCAGTTTCCAGTGGGACTCCGGGTGCTTGTAGTTGATGATGACCCTACTTGCTTAAGGATCTTGGAGAAGATGCTCAGGAACTGCCATTATCAAGGTATTTAATCACAAAAAACTTTATTGGAAATTTTTAAGTCTTTGTGGTTAAATTTAAGTCTTTGTAGTTTCTAATGATGTGTCCATTTGATGATTGATTCAACATTTGCTTTTTAGAAATTTATGCTGGGAAAGAGGTGGTTTTAGATCTCTCTTTGGATGTAAGATTTAAACTTCACTTAATTGGTTTCTAGGGTAATTTTCAAAGAAAAAAAGGGCAGCAGCCCACAGGGTCCACGGTTGTGATATCGACAGCCTACTCTAATGCAAGTATTAGTGGATGCTTCCACGTCTTTAACTCGTGACCTATAAAGACAACTTTATCATTCCTCCAAGGCCTCCCTTCCTAATTTTCAAAGAAAAAGCAAACTTAATATGTAGGTTAGTGAGTTATTTTCCTTTTTGTTGCTCTTGCAATTAATTTTAGCTTATTGTATGTTCCAGTCACCAAGTGTAATAGGGCTGAGGTTGCCTTATCGTTGCTCCGCGAAAACAAGAATGGATTTGACATTGTTATAAGTGATGTCCATATGCCAGACATGGATGGTTTCAAACTTCTTGAGCACATTGGTCTGGAGATGGACCTGCCTGTTATAAGTGAGTTTCCTGTTTCATTTAGTTAAAAACTATCATGTCTTTAGGGTTTAAAAGCTATTTCATCTTGTACTAATTGGGTGGATTATGACTCAAGTGATGTCTGCGGATGATAGTAAGGATGTGGTTATGAAAGGAGTTACTCATGGTGCATATGATTATCTGATCAAACCGGTGCGGATTGAGGCGCTGAAGAATATTTGGCAGCATGTTGTTCGTAAAAAGAAGCATGAGTGGAAGGACAACAATTACGATCAATCTGGAAGTGTGGAAGAAGGAGATCGGCAGCAGAAACTGCCAGAAGATGCTGATTACTCATCTTCAGCTAATGAAGGAAACTGGAGAAACTCGAAGAAAAGAAAGGAAGAGGAAGAAGAAGCTGAAGAAAGGGACGATACAGCCACATTAAAGAAGCCACGTGTTGTTTGGTCAGTGGAGCTTCATCAACAATTTGTGCAAGCTGTGCATCAACTTGGAATTGACAGTATGGACTATTTTCTCTTCTGTTTACTATATTTAACCTTTTATATTGTTATGATATTATCCCTCGTTGCTCTGTGTGTTCTGGATGTTAGCTTTCTTTTGCATGTACTTTCTCCACCTCATTTTTTCTGTATTTACTTGTCTTGTAATCTGTTTCCGAGCCGAGGATCTATTGGAAATAGTCTCTCTACCTTCATTAGGTAGGGGTAAGGTCTGTGTACAGACTACCCTCCCCAGACCCCACCTGTTGGGAATATACTGGGTATGTTGTTGTTGTTGTTGTACTTGTCTTGTAATCTGTTTCCGAGCCGAGGATCTATTGGAAATAGTCTCTCTACCTTCATTAGGTAGGGGTAAGGTCTGTGTACAGACTACCCTCCCCAGACCCCACCTGTTGGGAATATACTGGGTATGTTGTTGTTGTTGTTGTACTTGTCTTGTAATCTGTTAACATATTTCCCACTTGTTGTATATGGGTGGGTTCTCCCTTAAGTTCTTTTCTAGTATGAGTTTCTTTTCATTTGTAAAGAATATTAAAAAGTCTGATTAGAGAAATGTAACCTTACAACTGGCAGAAGGAGTTCTTGTCAAATAATTATAATTAGCCTAACCAAATGTTTTCTCGTTTGATGTCTCGTGCCTTCTTCCATCCTAGTCTTGGGTGGACAATGAAGGGGGTATATTCAATTTAGAGACCTCGTTCCAGCGAAGTGGATCTGTAGCTTCTTTCCTACACTTCATAAGAATATTGTCTTTTCCATTTCACTAGCTTCAAAAAACACTAGGTTATTGGGTGATTGTGTGTTGGGGAGTGGTTTGTTAAAAATACATACATGATAGCCAGAGGCGGATCTGGGATTCAAATTCTATGGGCTCAACAAGGTTCTTACTTCCTAGCATTGAGCCCATTATATTTTTACAGATATTAGTTCATATCTACTATGTTTTGCAATTTTAGTGGACTTTTACGCATAAATTTGTGCTCCACATTGAAAGTATTGGGTTCAAGATAACCCGGCAACTCTAAGCTGCATCCGCCCTTGATAGTTTAAGTAGTACATAGTATAGCATGAGCTATGTGAGATTTAGGGTTTTAGCCAGGAACTTTGGTTTGTTCAGATGTCACTTACTCTGTCATATCAAATTAAGTGTTAACAGAAGGTTGAGATTATTCTATTTGTAATTGGGAGTCCAATCATTACATCAGATAATTTTATACCTTTCTTTTGAACCATCAGTCATAGGTTAATTTCCCAGTATGATATGGTAAAAGAAAGAAAAAGGAAACAATGAAATAAAATCTGGATATAATGAAAAGAAAGGATTAGAAATTTTGGAAAAGAAAAAGAAACAAAAATTAAATTGGAAGAAATGAAAATGACTGAGAAAGTAAAATAAAAAAAAAATCTTGACTGTCCTAAAGTTGTCATAGTTTCTTTCACTATATAATCTGGTTATAAGAAATTGTATAATTTTGTTGTGCTGTCTTTTACTGTACAATTTGTTTTATGTGAACTCAAAATTAATACTTATTGACATTTTTGTTGTCTATTCGTGCTAAATGTTTCAATATTGGATATGGATGCAGAGGCCGTTCCGAAGAAAATTCTGGAACTGATGAACGTTCCTGGACTAACCAGAGAAAATGTTGCTAGCCACCTTCAGGTAATTTTAGACTTTTACTTTTAACCCTTTTACAGTGTCATGCCCAAGAAATTTAATTGCCCAAAGTCATTGTCTTGGTAGTTTTTTGCATTTTGTGGTAGAGAAATGTTTGTCTAATTTCTTTAGCAGAGCACTCAATGGTGGCAATCACTTTCTGCAGAAATATCGGTTGTATCTCAGAAGGTTGAGTGGTGTATCACAGCACCAGAGTAGTTTGAACAACTCGTTCATGGGACGCCCAGACGCAACCTTTGGCACAATATCTTCCCTCAACGGGCTTGATCTTCAAGCTATTTCTGCCGCTGGTCAAGTCCCTGCGCAAAGTCTTGCTACCCTCCAAGCAGCGGCCCTAGGTAGATCTGCTGCTACAAAATCTGCCATATCTATGCCCCTAGTAGATCAAAGAAACCTTTTTAGCTTCGAAAATTCCAAGTTGAGATTTCCAGAAGGGCAACAACAACTAAATAATAGCAATAAGCAAATTGACTTGCTGCATGGAATCCCAACCACCATGGAGCCAAAGCAGCTTGCTAATTTACACCACCCTTCCCAGTCCTTCGTGAGTATGAATACGCAAGTGAACTCCATGGCACAACATAATAATCCTTTGCTTTTGAGAATGTCCCAATCACAACCTAGGGCTCAAATGCTAAATGGAGCGAATAATGGCCATCAAGTTTCGAGGCTTCCATTATCCATGCAGCAACCTTTGTCGCCAGAGGGGATACCTGGTACTGTCCCAGCACAGAGTGGTATTGTTGACAATGCACGAGGGAGCGTGTACAATCCAGTCTCCCAATCATCTTCAATGGTAGATTTCTCGCTAAATCAAAGCAAGGAGTTGCAAAGCTACAACTTTTCTCTTGGGAGTAATAATTCAGGGATGCCCACTTTGACCAATAGAGGGATGCTTCAGGAAGAGATGAACTCCGACATCAAAGGATCTAGAGGATTCCCTTCTAATTATGATATGTTCAATGAACTCCATCAGCAAAAATCACAGAACTGGGATTTACAGAATGTTGGGTCAACCTTTGATGCCTCTCATCATCCAAGTATACAAGGAACTCGGGGTGTCTCATCACAATTGTTACTTCAGCAAGGGATCTCTTCAACACACCACAGTGGACAAAACAGAAATGCTCCTAGTGGTAAACCATTGTACTCCAATGCGGATGAAAGTGGACATTTTAATCCTATGGGTGGACCACAACTTAACTCTCTTGGTGGAAATATGCTTGCTGTTAAAGCTGAAAGATTTTCCGACTCAGACTATCACAGTACCATTTACCACGAGCAATTTGGACAGGAGGACCTCATGAGTGCCTTCTTAAAAACAGGTTAGTCCTAATTTGTTATCCTTAAAGAAGATAGCTTCTAAATCAAATTTTGTAGTTCATGACTTAACTCTTGTAGCTAATTTGGATAACTTCTATTTGCAACAGCAAGGAAATGTTGGACCAGTTGAAACTGAATTTGGCTTCGATGCATACACACTGGACAATCTTCCTGTGTGAGATGTGAACAAAGCATAGTTGATGGCACTGAACATATAATTCAAAGTAACTAGTGTACATAGTTGCCGTTACAGCTGAAAATTTCCCTATGAACCAAAATGAAGGAGTCTCAGTTTTCTATTCAGTTGTAAGGTCTCAAGGTTGCTGGTTCTTATTGGAAAAGAACTTAGCTGTCAGATGGCAAGTATGGATATCAGATAGATCATAGAAGGGTAAATGTGTATGGTATGCAAAGGCATACATGCAAAGTTTTGGCTGGTATTGGTAGGTGATTTTAGGAGAATCACATTTCTTTTGAGTATTTTGTCAAGGAGTTCTAATCGTGGGGTGCAGGCGCTAGATGCAGGGATATTCGTAAACAGGAAGGTTAAGTTCTAACTTCAATAATGCAAGTTTTCTTCCCTTTCACTTTTAGGATTGATCTTTTAATGTACAGATTTCATTTGAAATGCTTATTAAGATAAGTCTGGATTCATATAGGTGTTCATTTACCTGGTCATTTCATGTTCTATTTTTGAGGTGTGCAGCTCACACTTGGAGATGTATTTTCTATGTATTACCTATTTCTGTGTAGGTTTAGCGAAGTTGAGTTATGTACAACTCAAATATGATCCTTTTTTCTGCTTGCCAAACACTTAGCTCTTTGACTTTTACTTTTATATATCGAAACAAAATCATATATACTTAAAATTTTATTCGTCCCAGGGCTTTATAGCAAAGCTATGTATGGGAGATAGCTGTACACCACAGAAGAATTCTTGGAATATCATTTGGAATAATAGATCTATCAAAACAAAAAGACAGTATCATCTGTTTTTTGTAAAAGAATTGGCTGTTTATATAGCTCTTTGTGAAACTGCTAATCTTGATCTCTGCGCTTTTATGCAGGCTGTCTTTTATTTCAATTGTTTAAGAAAACAATTTACTCCGGAAATATTTCTTAATCGATCCAAAACAAAAGATGTAGATGCAAAGCTAAAATAGAGTGAAATGACTAAAAAGACACCCCTTGTAAGGGAATTTTTGCTCAGCTACATTGACATGTTACCACGTTAAGAAGGACAAATTTGCTAATCACAAAAAAAAATAGAGACTGAAAATTAATTACAAGTATTAATCAGGTGTTCAAACTGAGGTATAACGTATAGTCATATGTTGTCTGGAAAAATAATTCCAAATAAGCAGATTACAAATCAAAACTTGCCAAAAATACCTTGTCCCGAGTACAACAACAACAACAACAACAACCCAGTGTAATCCCACAAGTGGGGTCTGGGGAGGGTAATATGTACGCAGACCTTACCTCTACCCCGAGGGGCAGAGAGGCTGTTTCCAGGAGACCCTCGGCTCAAAGAGGCAACAAGAGACACTATATTAGTACTATCAATAGACTCATAATAAAACAACATAAAGTACCATAAAATCCATAACATAACATAAATACCATAAAAACAAAGTAACAACAATATAAGAGATATAGGAAATACGAGAAAGATGTAAGGTATTAATACACAGGAGATAAAGCCCATCATCAGTAGTTGATCAATAGCATCCTAAGACTACTTCCTAACTGGCTAGTCTCACTCTAGTGCGCTGTAACAAAGACATCACAATTTCCCTAACCTACCACCTTAATGCTCGATCTCCACAATTCCCTGTTTNCTTGTCCCGAGTACACATTGACATAATCTGATTAAAAGACTGTTTCACCAGCAGCATTAAAACCTGGTTGCATCCATCATCTAAAGAATGAATCAATTGGCAGGTATGGAATAAAGAGAGTGTCGCATTTCACTGCTATTGTCGCATCAACATAAAAACCACAAGTGCTAGTATGGAAGTAGTTACAGTAAACGAAGATATCCTCCTAGATGAGCTGCTTGTTGGGAGTATCTTTGGCAATGAGCACTCTTCTCCATTAAAGTATACCTTTGTTGGGAATCCATCACCGCCAGGAATGTTGATTCCAGGGATATTCTTCTTTGTGAATGAGATCACTGATTGTTGTTTCCCAGGTACTCGGGGATCTTTCTCTGGATTAGCTCCATCTGTTTCTGCTACTAGATAGTTCAAGCCCTCCAGGCCTTGCATGAACAAGGTATTGTTAACGCCGTCTAATATAGTTCCATTGAAGGAATACACCGCATCAAAACCAAGGGCTGCTTTATCCAATTGCACCGCGGTGAACCAATCAGCAAAAGAAGTATCATCCCAGTTAAAGAGGGTGATCCTGGCAGACCATCCACCCCTATAGTCTGTGAATAAATGCCAGTTGATGCTGACACCGCAGTTATCTCCGCATGGCAATGGGTTAGAAACTGGNCACTACATGTCCGAGCGGTATTAGAAGGGCAACCACAGGAGCATGTTGGACAAGGAATGATAGATTCATTGTAGAAAGCAGAGAAAGATACACAGCATCTAGGGCTTGCTCCTTTTGGTTGGGTGATGTTGCATACAACTTGCCAGCTTGCAAATGCTGCTGTATCGGGTAGCAATCCACTAGGATCAGGAAACTGGCTGGGGCTTACACGGACTGGAGGTCCACATTTATAATCTGGATTCAGT